TCTAACACCCCTAAAGTCTGACAGGATAACGATGAACTTCATAGCATTGACTCATTTTTTCTTAATTTTGCAGTAACTTTTGTTGCCTTGCTGTAGAGGATAAATGTTTTTTGCTGTGGAATGACTTAGTTTTTCTGCAAATAAAGTTTTGATATGCTCAAAATGAACCTTTCTGACTTTTGCTTTGAACATGTTGCTTTTAGAGATGTAGAACTGAATTTAAAAGAAGTAATTGATTCTTCGCAAATTATCATATTTTTCAACTAATTATATTGTCCCTTGTCGCAGCATGTCCATATTCCTACACCCGTCTAACCAAACCATACATGACACTAGAATAAGTACACTTATACGAAATTTATAATATTGCGTAAAAAGCTATCTAGATCTTTTGTTAGAATGAATTTTCCATACAACTACGTGGTTGAAGATGGCGGGAGTACGAGTATATGTTACATACAAAGTATACACGTAGATGGTCAGAAACTCGGGCCAGCTTCTCAGTTGCGAAATATGTGTAGATTTTTATTTTTATGTAGCAAAAAACAAAGTTAATACCCAAAATGGATTCATTCATGACGATTGATGGTCACTGAATAACTTGGCTAATTAGTTTGCACATCATTTGTTTTGAAGCAACGGTCACTGCAAAACAAATAATTTAAAGGACATCGCTCCGATCCTGGATAATGTTTTTTTTGGCAGGGGGAAAGCTTTTATAGCCACTCTAAGGCAAAAAAAAAACTCGACAGTATTGCCCTGCCGGCCTTTTCTGTCCGAAGTGTGAGATTCTCCAGAAATAGCATATTCACTAAAACCCACTCAGTCGTTTCGCCATACATCCCACCACGGTAATGCTTGCAGCATTTCTTCATAGTGGGTAGCATTGCGCTAGGTTCTCATACCGAAGGTATTAGTAATCTTTTCTCTATCGTATACATACATACTTTTCTACATATTTACATGTACAACCGAGCAAAATTCAAACCTACTATTGGTTGCTTGATCTATTTTTGTTCTCCGTACCTTACTCAGCATCATTTGCCTCACTATTGGTTGAATATCAATATATCATTTCCTCGCGTGTATGCGTGGCAAAATTGTCAGCAGTCAGCTTTTTTACCGAGCGTCAGTTCGAGCTGTGTCTGGTAGTCAACCCACCTACCAAATTGAAGCAGATGATTAGGAGTATCCTCCTCTCTATTGCAATATACGCATTTCGCGAACTCTGTCTTTCCTACCTTCTTCAGGTAGCTGACAAAACAAACATGTCTGTGAGGAACTGTGCGATATAGTAATCTATCCGCACCGCTCCGCTGTCAATTCAAGTTTTAATATCTGGGATCAGCCTTCTGGGCCAAGCACCATGGCCAGTTGCATCCCATGTCTCTGCCATCTAACAAGAAGCACCCCTCTATCGTCGCTTGTACCTTCGAGGACATTTTATAGAGCGCACATCTCCCCGCAGCCAGCAAATCAATTGGCGGGATACCAGCCACAGCCCGCAGTGCATCGGTCGAACACCGTTCTGTAAGCGCATACCACGCGCAGCACTATTTTTCGCTTGGTTCCCAATGTCAGCTGTACATATTTATTTTTCATCAAGGCCTTGTTATATACAGGGTGACTTGTAATGTCAAGTATTCCTGTTAAGGGTTGATAGATTTAGGTCAAAAGCAACCGATTTTGTCCTACAATGTCTTATCCAGAAGTTAACCGTTTTTGAGTTATCTGAATTTTATTTTTTTTTATTCCGATTTACAGACGGTTAAATTTGAAATACAAAAAAAACTACATGTTTGATTTTGAGTTTTTTCTTATCGTCGCATAGCGGACATTCCAATAGTTCATAATAAGTAATAAAAATGTTGAAAACTTACAAAAGTTTTAAAATTACGCTTTTGAAATGTATGATTTTCTTATTTTTTAAAAAACTTATTCGATAAAAAATGTCATTTTCTGTAAAAAATCTCCTAGTAATGAAATGTGCAAATTATGTAAATAATAACTCTATCTAACAAGCTTTCATTTGAGGTATTAAGCGTTCAATATCTGAAGTACATACAGAGAAACAACAATGACACCTACAGAGGCTGGATTTTAAGGAATTTGTATTACCTGTTTGAACAAGTCGTTGAATGAATGAATCTTGAAATTAGAGGCATTCCGGCCACCACAAGGAGCCAGTGCAAAGGCCGCTTAAGCGGGCCCTTATGCACCTCTACAATCCTTAGATCACAAGCCTCGCCCTTTTAGCGAAGTTAAGAATCGCCTTGAGTCCAAGCTCCTTGACGTCCTGAGGGTCCAAAGTAATGGACCCCAGTATAGTCTGCCTATAGTAGCTCAGAGCTTCACAGCGACACAAAACGTGCCACCGAGATCTCTTCCTCTACTCCGCAGCGTTCACACAAGGGATCCTCAGCCACCCCCATCACGTGCAGGTGACGCCTTAACGTGTTATGGCCAGACAACAGTCCCACCAGCAACCTTAGGTTGGCTCTATCCAGAGATAGGCAGAAGCGTCCATCCTTAAGCACTGGGCCCTTCAATGAGTTCTCGTGCTGGCCGGAGATGCCGGGGATACTTCCTCCATTCTGAGAGTGTTGTCTTGCAACCCACGTCTCCATTTTCCTCCTAGCTTTATGCGCGGTCACGCCTAGAGCTGGATCAGGACCAACGAGCTTGCTGGCTGATCCTGTTTCGCCAGAGTGTCCGCCGTCTCATTGCCCCTTATCCCAGCGTGCCCCGGTACCCATATTAACGATACCGGATGCCTCGCTGCGAGGCAATCCAGAGCCTCCCTGCATTGCAATACAAGACTCGAAGTAATCTTACAGGCACTTAGTGCTTTCATTGCAGCCTGGCTGTCGGATAAGTTGTTATTCTTCTCCTAGGCCCACCCTCCTCCAGAATGTGAGATACACAAGCCAGAATCGCAAAGTTTTCCGCCTGGAAAATGGTGGTGTATCCACCGAGAGGCAGAGATAGCCTAGTTCTAGGCCCAGAGACCCCAGCACCTGAGCCCTCTTCGGTGACCGAGCCGTCCGTGTACCAGACCTGCCCGCTCACTCGGAGAGTCCCGGCTACCGGCCCCACTCCTCCCTCGTTGGATACTCCACAATAAATTGCGGTTGAAGCGATATTTAGGGGTAATACGATCACCCCTGCTTAGAAGGATGGGGTCCTCCCTTTGTAATTCGACTAAGATGGCAGTATGCCCCTTGACAGGATTCAAGAAAGCCCAGCTGCCCTGACTCCACAGTCGATGAGCGACTACTCTCGCTTCACGGATCACCAGATCCAACGGTGGGAGATCCAACAGAGCTTCCATTACTCAATGGCGTTGTTCGCACTGCGCTTGTAATACTAATACAGGCCAAACGCTGAATTTTATTGAGTTTGGCCTTAGTTGTCTCAGTTCTAATGCAAGGCCACCAGACCAGGGAGCCGTACAAGAGAGATGGACGTACTATCGTCGTGTAGAGCCAGTATACCACTTTGGGTTTAAGCCCCCACCTTACCGACAACACGTCTACAAGCCCACATCGAATTGCGAGCCTTGCTAACCTTGTATTCCACATGTCTCTCCAGTTCAGTTTGCAATCCAGGATAATTCCCAGATATTTCACTGACTGGGACAAAACTAATCTAGTCCCAAAGAAGGTCGGCATGACCCGTCAAGCCTTCTTCTCCTAGTGAATAGGATCAGCTCGGTCTTTTCAGCATTAACAGAAAGATCGACTTCCCTACACCACGATTCCACGGAGCGCAGAGCGCCCTGCATAATTTCCGAGACTGTTCTACAGAAACGCCCCCTAACACTATGCTTACGTCATC